CTGTGCCATCTGGTCTCTGCTTACGCTTCACCCTTACGTACAATTATAGCCATTATAAATGTAGTACAATCAAAAGCTGCCTTTTGTGTCTTTACAGTATTGTTTTTATCCATTTATTTTGTTTAAATTAAAGGCTTTTTCGCAGGAGTTTGAGATGATTCTGGCAAAGAATAACATAAGAGTGGATGAAGTTGATGAAAAGCTTAGCAAACAACTTTCATTTTAGATAAATATGAAAAAAAATAATAATCGAGAAGCCGGTGCTGCATGCATTATCTCTGATAAAATATGATCCTATGAAAAATAACAGCCATCTGCCGCAAACACACATAACCAAACACGTGCACACATTCCCCCGGAGATCCACTAGCCGATGCACAACATCATTCTCACAGGATTGTAAAAACACATTACAGCATATCTAATGAACCTGGGCTCCTTTTCGACTTGCCTTCCATTGTCATTGTCAACCAGAATTGAGTGAGAGTACAATAAAACATAGCACTAGTAGAAGTGAAACTATTCAAGGAGAAACTCTAAACTCTCCAGGAAAGAGAAGACACCTGCACAACAAATATTTTTGGGCCAGCACATTGTTTGATCATGGCTGTGCTGTATCAGCACTGTGATCAGCTGAGAGGCAACAAGAGTACGAGGGAGTACAGCCACCAACTGGATATCAGAGATCAAAATCATTTGGAAACATGGAGGGGGGCCGCGGTGGTGTGACGAACGATGGAAAAGGGCTCAGCAGTTGGTGGTGACGAGGGAAGTACCACTGGGATTAGCTTGTGTGTTTTCACATTTATTTCATCATAACCCGGCCACATGGAGGACCTCAACACATGGTACACAAACACCCCCTTGTTTGATGTTTTGCAATTTGCAATTAAATATGTAAATATGTTAAACATGTTTGGGAGTTGGAAATTAAAGTTAATAGTAAGGTTTTAACAAAAGTTGTACAATAGTACAGTGTGCCAATATATATATATATATATATATATATATATATATATATATATATATTAGGGTGGTCCACATTTTCATGGCAAAAAAAAAGTTTGTCGGATTCGTCGGGCCGGGTCGGAATTCTTGTCGATACTATGGTACAAGGTTCTGTGCAAAATTTCATTCCGATCTGATGATATTTTCCTGTCCCGCAAAGCGGCCAAAGTTTCCACCATAACAACTGGTCTCAATAGGGTGAACATGTGTATTTTAACCGTG